AAGTTCCCACGTGCCTGTTCATGCTCCTGGAGGTCTATTGTTTACCAGCCCTATCAGCTACTAGATGTAGGCTACTTAGAAGCCTAATGTTGAGGCAGCAGTTGGGGAAAATATGTAGACAAATCCTTTTTAGGAAGACTATGAAACTGGTTTTTTTTTTAATTCCTTTTTTTTTTTATCTTATTTTCTTTTTTTTCAGAGACAAGGTCTCAGTCTACCACCTAGGCTGTAATGCAGTGGCTCCATCATAGCTCACTGCAACCCTCAATCTTGGACTCAAACAATCATCCTGCCTCAGCATCCTGAGTAGCTAGGACTACAGGTATATGTCACCACACCTGGCTAATTAAAAAAACAAACAAACAAAAAAAACTGTCCCCCAGGCTGTTTTCAAACTCCTGGCCTCAAGTGATCCTCCCGCCTCAGCCTCTCAAAGCACTGGGATTACAGGCATGAGCCATGGTGCCCAGCCAGAACGGTGCCTTTCTGCCTGCTTGCTCTGCATTGACCCTGGGGGACAGCCACTGAAAGTGCTCACATACCTGTTTAAAATGTCCTCTTATGGCCGGGCATGGTGGCTCACACCTATAATCCCAGCACTCTGGGAGGCTGAGGTGGGTGGATCACAAGGTCAGAAGATCGAGACCATCCTGACTAACACTGTGAAATCCCATCTTTACTAAAAATACAAAAAATTAGCCAGGCATGGTGGCATGTGCCTGTAGTCCCATCTACTCAGGAGGTTGAGGCAGGAGAATCGCTTGAACCCAGGAGGCAGAGGTTGCAGTGAGCTATTGCGCCACTGTACTCCAGCCTGGGCTACAGAGCCAAGACCCCGTCTCAAAAAAAAATAAAAATAAAAAAATAGCTGGGTGTAGTGGCGCATACCTGTAATCCTAGCTACTCAGGAGGCTGAGGCAGGAGAATCGCTTGAGCTCGGGAGGTGGAAGTTGCAGTGAACCAAGATTTTGCCACTGCACTACAACCTGGGCGAAAAGTGTGAAACTCTGTCTCTAAATAAATAAATGTCCTTTTTTCTCAGTGGACTCACAAATGCTGAACCCTGTCCATTCCCAGAGTAAGATGATTGAGGAGCCAAACTCTCAGGTGGAAAATGTTTAAGTTTGGGAGCAGTATGTCTGGCCTACACCCTTCATTCTTCAAAAATCTGGAATTTGGGGATTCCTTCCCAATTGTAAGATACTGTGCCCAGGTTTGTGGTTTACATTGTGTCTCAACTTGTTGGTACCCATTTTGATGTGGATATATTCTCAGTTGCCCAGTGTGTAGGAGTCTCAACTAGTTTCTATATTTCTCTCTCAGAGAACTGATCCATGTGTAGATATTTATTCAGTGCATCCATGGAAGGAAGGAAAGTCAGAAGTTTCCCATTCTGTATATTGTTGATGCCCACTCAGTGAAACGAAACTTTTTTTGGGCAGGGAGGAGGTTCTCATTCTTTTCAGCCAGGGTGAGTGCAGTGGAAGAATCACAGCTTACTAAGGCCTTCACCCAGGCTCAAGCAATCCTTTCCTGAGTAGGTGGGACTACAGGCATGTGACACCACGCCCGGCCTTTTTTTTTTTTTTGAGATGTAGTATCCCTCTGTCCCCCCAGGCTGGAGTGCAGTGGTGCGATCTTGGCTCACTGCAACCTCCACCTCCTGGGTTCAAGCAATTCTCTTGTGTCAGCCTCCCAAGTAGCTGGGACTACATGTGTGTGCCACCATGCCCAGCTATGTTTTTTTTTTTTTAGTAGAAATGGGGTTTCACCATGTTGGCCAGGATGGTCTCGACCTTTTGACCTCGTGATCTGCCCACCTCAGCCTCCCAAAGTGCTGGGATTACAGGCGTGAGCCACTGTGCCCGGCCTAATTTTTAAATTTTTGGTAGAGATGGGTCTTATTATGTTGCCCAGGCTGGTCTGGAACTCCTGGCCTCAAGCAATCCTCCTCCTGCCTTGACCTCCCAAAGTGCTGGGATTATAAGCGTGAGCCACTGCACTGGCCATCTTTGCTAAATTATTCCCTTCAAGCCTATAGGGCATCGTTATATATTTATCCTGAAAGCTTTCTTCGTTTTTTTCTAAACTCCTTACAGTTTCTTTGTATACACTGTTACACCTCTTGCCTACTAGTAACTGACAGCACCAGTGTCTTTTTTTTTTTTTTTTTGACAAAGTCTCACTCTGTTGCCCAGGCTGGAGTGCAGTGGCCCAATCTCAGCTCACTGCGACCTCCACCTCCTGGGTTCAAGCAATTCTCCTGCCTCAGCCTCCTGAGTAGCTGGGACTACAGGTGCACACCACCATGCCCGGCTAATTTTTGTATTTTTTTAGTAGAGATGGGGTTTCACCATATTGGCCAGGCTGGTCTCGAACTCCTGACCTTGTGATCTGCCTGCCTTGGTCTCCCAAAGTGCTGGGATACAGGCATGAACCACTGCACCCGGCCCTCTGTCAGTCTTTAAGCTGAAACCAACAGTATAAAAGTGACAGCTGTAGTAGTTTCATTCAGTGCATAATTTTAAGCATCTACCATGTTCCTGGTCTCTGCTCCTATAGAGACAATGAAATTTTATTAGTTACATAATTACTATTCGATTACAAGCGTATTGCTATAAGGAGGGTAAAACAAAGAATGCAGGAATTGAGAGGGTTGTTCCAAGTAAAAGAAAACGTATGTGCACAAAGGAAAAGTAAAGAGCTTGGTATATTTGATGAATTGAGCAAAAGTGTAGCTGGAGAGGGGTAGGAGGAAAAGAACAGCTGGAGTTGATGCTGGCAGGGAAGTAATGACTAGGAAGGTCTTGTTGAAAATTTAAATGTCCCTAAGGACAATGGGAAGCCAATGGAAGATGTCAAGTTGGATGATGAGATAATCATAATCATCTGGTACCTGGCCCTCTACTTCTGTGCAGCAAAGACTGGAAAGATCAACATCTAGTGTTGTCTTCCCTCAATAATGCTGGAATTTTCTGCTGAGTTTCAGGGAGCAAGCAATTTTATAATACTTCTTTTATTAAATGGCAGTGTGTTAGCTGTGTTGACAGAGAACAAGAGTGATATGAAAGTCATCAGCAGGCTATTTCAGGTAACCCAGGTGAGTATCGTTGGACAGGATGGGGACAGTGGAGACAGAAACATTCAGGTTTTGTGATACTTTTGAGGTAGAATCCATGAGACTTGATGATTGAGTGGATATGATGTCTTAGTCTGTTCTGGCTGCTATGAAAAATTACCGTCAACTGGGTAGCTTATTAACAACAAAATGTTTTTTTCTCATAGTTCTAGAGGCTAGGAAGCCCAGATCAAGGCACTGGCAGATTCAGTGTCTGGTGAGGGCCATTTCCATGATGGCACCTTCTTGCTGGGTCCTCACAGGCTCAAGCACAGTGGCCCAATCACAGTTCACTGTAACCTCGACTTCCTGGACTCAAGCAATCCTCCTGCCTCAGCCTCCCCAGTAGCTAGGACTACAAGCACCAGCCACCACACTGGGCTACATAAATGTTTTGTAAAGACGGGGTGCCATTATGTTTCCCAGGCTGGTCTTGAACTCCTGGCTTTAAGCAATCCTCCCACCTTGGCCTCTCAAAGAACTGGGATTACAGACATAAGCCACCACACCTGGGCTGCAGTCTCTTTTATGAGGACACTAATCCCAATCATGAGGGGTCTGCCAAAGTCCCCACCTCCTAATAACATCAATTAAAGTGTTAGAATTCGAACACATGAATTTTTAGGGTACACAAATATTCAAGCCATAGCAAGAGGAAAGAGGAAGTGTTTGTTGATATCATGAGCAACTGTATGGATGTGGCCCCACATACTGGAGGCAAACAGATGAGGCGCTAAAAGCATGAGTTAAGGGCACGTGTTTTGATGCCTGAGAGACATCCAAAGGACGATCTCCTGTAGGTACTTGAAAGTAGGAATCTGGAGTACATAGAAGTTGGAGTTTGACCTAAAGTGAGGTCTTTGTAGCCATGGAAGTGGCTAAGCTCACCTGGGGAAGATACCATTTACCAAAGGTAAGCCGAGGGTACAGTTCAGCTAACCAGAAGCATGTTAGAATTTGGCTGCAGAGCATGCCAAAAGCCTAAGAGATTGGTACTGGTCCTAAAGAAAAGACCCTCTATCCAGCACAAGTGAGATGCACAAAGTATCCAATTCAACAAGCCAGAGACACACATGCTAGACAGGCCCACAGCTCTGCATTGCCTAAGTGGGACTAGAGCTGGGACGGTGGCGCACAGCTTCTTCTCCAGTCCTAACACTTAGAATCATGGGATGGAGATTCGTGTTAGTGCCCGACAGTCACACCCGTGTTACCCTCCTGCTGATGTGGCGGAAGAGACCTGAGGAGTTCCTCCGCAAACGCTTTTACCCATATTGCTAGATTTACATGGAGATCACCTAGCGATATGCAGTAGACATCGCCAGGCACATGGCCAAACCCCACTGATGGATCTCCACCGTTCACCACATCCCACTTGCCCCGGAATGCGCAGGCGCTGCCGGAACCGGGCACCGGAAGTGGCTCGTGGCTTCCGGTTCCTCACCAGTGTGCCGCTGTAGCGCAAGTCATCTGGTTGGCACTTCCGCTGACCCGTGCGGTTGGTGGCCAAGCGGAGACCCAGGATCTCCGTGAGGCCGCGCGAGGTCTTCTGGGAGTCCTACTCACCACATCCGCTACTCGGACTCCAAGCTTTAAGTGGCGACCCGCACCAAGCAGTAGCTGCTCCGTGAAGACGGAGGTCATTGCCCCTGTACTTCTGTGTACAGCAAAGACGAAAGGAAATTGAGGTCTAGCGCTAGCTTCCCAGAATGACGCCGGAATTTTCTGCTGAGTTCCAGGGAGCAAGCGATTTTACTTCCCTTATTAAGCAGCACAAAGTCATTCACTTTCTAAACCACAATCCTAATAGTCTTCAAAATTTACCTCATTGCCACCTAAAACCACTTAAGTATTTTTTTTTAAAAAGTTCACTTCATTGCCATCATCATAAAATATCATTTATTAGAAGCCAAATTGCACATTAGACGTAATCAATAACTTCAGAGCTTGCAAACTAGAGCGAAGACTGATGAGAATACGTCAAAAACAGTAAAACCAAAACATTAAACAAACAGTATAAGTGTATACAATAAATATAATTCTGAGGTATCCAAAGGAACTGGGGATTACAGCACATTCTTATGTTTACACAGAAGAATATTTATATTGTATTCTCCCCTACAGACTTAATGCAAAGAGGAATGTCAATTTTAAAAGACAAAACACCTGTACTACTTAGATGGGCCTTGGAAAGATGGGTAATGGTCATCTTTGAATCAGATCAATAGCTCTCCTAAATTACAAAACTAAACCACATGAATATATATACTTCTAATGTAATGAACATCATTTTGTTAAACAGATGGTCAAAGCAAAAACACTTTCCTACTAAAATCCCACAGGGATAACAAGTTTAATGAACATTCAAAATAGACTATTCATATAAACTATAACCTGCTATGTCTCCCTTTGTACACATAGGCAGTAAATTGCAGATTACTTTGATAAGACTCTGCAGTTTCAGATTGTATGACATCTTATGCTGCAGTCACTAGAACAATGCCACTTAATTATATGGAAACTCAGGAGGCAAAGACTCAATTACTGTGAAATGTCATTTGAGTTTTAACTCCCTGAATTATTGGGTTAGTCATTTTCTATGTTAAATGAGGAGGTGTCAGTAGACTACCACCTGTAGCAACAAAGCTCTAAATAAATCTATTTTGAGTCCACCTCATTCAAGAACAACTACATTCCACAATTTCTTAAATTACAAAATGTAAACTGCTGACATCTGAATTCCATTGGAAAAATGCTGTTTCCATCAATGATGATTGTTTAACAGACTGTTTATTCCAGCAATCACGTTAAGGAACTGTTGGAAACACATTTTCATCACTGCATCAACAACAAAGACGAAGAAATTTGTCTGAGTCAATTTATTCAGCATAAAGTTTTCACTCTCATAGTGTGATTTCCATGCTGCAAAATGCAGTTAACCAATCATTCATAGCAATAAACTCTTGCATTTAGTTTTTCATTCCCATATTAACTTTTATCCAGTATTTGTGAATAGCACCTAACATGGTATAGGCTAGTATCTCTGAGTTAAGGACAATTTTATGGAATTTATCTCCATCAATTGACACTGTAAACAGAAGGGTGAAAAGCCATCATCATAAAAAGCCTGAAGCTCACCAGCAGATACATCTTTTCCTTCAATTCCCTGGGGGCAAAGCAGCTTGAATTACATCCAGCAAATGTATTTAAGTACAAGTGCACAATAAGCAAACAACTGAAAATATGCCTATTTCCCAGTAACTGACACTTAGGGGATTTTCATTTTTTTCTGCATACCAATCATTAACAGTATTATACCAAAAAGCCATTTTAGTTATACCCACATGTATGTTAATGTTTCTGAAAAGGGCTATTTTTTCTAATCTTTTAGGGAAGTTTGTCATAATCTTCCAAAATCTGGAGAATAAAACTGTAAAAATTAGAGGTTTATTGTGAAGGAAGACTCATGTAAAAAGGCAAACTTCCCTATTAAGGTGCAAAACAGGATGTATGGCACAAACTCTCACTTTCTGCTATGTTTTCTAGGAGCCAAAACAAAAATGACAGCATCCATCTTTTATATCACTCCCATTCTGTCCAAGTGCCTTCTAAGATATTCCCCTCTACTTCTTTCTGCAGCAACTCTGCTAATCCAGACCTTTCCCAATTTCATCTCCCATCCTGTGACTCATTAGATCTTTGACTGAAATATTAGGGTCCCTGATAAGTGCTGAGGCACCTGCCAGTTTCTCCCACTGAGGGCAGAAGCAGGAGAGCAAGGAGGTGGTGTTCTTGTTGTTATTTAACAAAGATCATGATATCTCAGAGTTGGCTAATAGGTAATCTAACTGGAGACTATCTTTCTACACATTTCAAAGCACCTCAGAGAAACCTGGAAGCTGGTGTCCTGTCTCCTAAGAGTGGAGACATCAGAAACAAAGAGCCAAGTCTGACCTTGACATACAGAGCAGCACATAGTCTCAACTGTGGATCTGCAAACCAGAAACAAGACAAAAATGACAAAAAGAAACTCTCTCTGGGTTTTTGTTAGTTTCAGTTTTCCTCTCACCTGAACAGTATCTTCCTGCCTCTACTCAGTAATAAGAGCTTAGCTGAGTAGCCAGCATCTTTTTGTACATTCAGTCCTCAATCTGCTGTTCTGTAGGACCACCTTCTGCTACCTTCCATACAATTAGTCCTCAAGAGTCTTTTATCTTTTCTCATGACGATTCCCAGCAACAATTCAATTTTAGCAAATATTATACTTTTATACTGTCTATTTAAGTAGAATGAGAGCATTCTTCCATCCTAATCAAAACCCATGTAAATACTGTTTTGCTGACAGGCATACAATCAACTTTAATAAGAAATTGTATATGAATCTATATTTACAACATTCTGTGGTTCTTTAACATTAATAACCATACTATTTAACAATATTTTGCTCCAATATTTATCTATAATAGTAGTATGTAAAGATCTACATATTATTAAGCATTTTGGTTAAAATCTAACAATTTTCTATATGCATTTTCTTTGGAGAGGGAGAGGAAATGTTATGGGTGTTTTTTAAAAAACCAAAACCCAACTAAGACCTTCAGTACTGTACTCTGCAAAGTGTGAAATCTCTTATCTGATTAGAGAGACAAGAATTCAAACCTGAAGTCCTGGAGAGTCTTCTGCTGCTTTACAACTGTATATGTAAGTCAGGCTTTGGGTACAGCACAAAGGGAATGAAGGGGTTCCAGGATGCAAGCACACTGAATCGCCTTCATGATCACCATTCTCACCGACCTATCTCAGCTCCCCTTTCCCTGGCTGCTTGCAGTGTTACTACGTGGTGCAAATGTCAACAAATGCTGCAGTCTTGCAGACTGCATGGCCTTTGGAGTCACAGAGACCCAAGCTTAATGTCAGTTTCACCACAATGTGATTTGTGTGCTGGGCAAAAGTACTGACTTTACCCTCTGAGGACTTCAGTTTCCTCGTTTATGAAACAAAGGTTTTTTTTTTTTTCTCTGTCACAGATTTATTCTGAAGATTAAATTAGATAATATATCTAAAGTAGCTAACATGCTCACTGAGAAACAATTACAATTATTCATAGTAAGACAGGTAATGTGCTTCAGTAGCGATTTGGAGGCAAATCTTAGAAAAGAGCAAGTACTTTTTCCCCTCCCCAAGTCAAGTCCAGCCTCCAGAAAAGGGCTGCAGTTAGACTTCTAAAATTCTTGCAAACAATTGGGTCCTAAATGCCAGTACCTGCCCCTGGCATCAGAACCATGACAGAGAACTCTGTGGATACTAATGGCCATCAAGATATAAACTAGTCCACCCATTTGAGAACTTTTACAGGGCAGAAAATAACTTCTAAATGCCTATGGGAATGCACATGTAAAACAGCAATCTTATACAAATATTACATTCAAATAGTTATAGCAAAAAAAAGTATAAAACACATAAAAGCATTTACTTTCCTAGATATAGCTGCAGAACTGGCAAAATATAAATAAATTCTCCTCCTTCTAAAAGTCAGAAACTACGTAAACAAAATTAAAAGAACTCTAGCAAGAGCCTTCATTTTAATGAAAATTGAATTTAAACAAAAGTTTTGTATCTTTTTCTGGCTCACAGTTGAACAGTAACCGAGTTCAAATCCTGGGTTCATTCACTAGCTTTGTGGCATGGATTTTGCGTCCCTAGTTATAAAATGGAAATGATACTGCCTAAATCAAGGTTGTGGTGAGAATTAAGTATTACATGGGAATGTGTGTAAAGTGCTTAGCACATTGCCTGGGACATATACAGTAACTGCTTCCCACCATACAGATACTGAAAAGCCCAATCACTAATAAGTTGTTAAATTTATATGGTGTTTTTTATGTGAGTTCGCTTATGAGTAATGAGATGCAAATTTGACCTGAAACTTTTCCCACACACAGTACATTTAAAAGTTTCCTCTACCATGTGGCTCTTCTGGTGGCATGCAAGTTCTGAGTCCAAAGCAAAACTTTTCTCACATGTTTTGCATGTATAGGGCCTTTCCTCTGTATGAATGTTTTGATGGGAAATAAGCTCAGAGAAACAAGGAAAGGTCATGTCACAGTCAGGACATTGCAAGGGCTTGAATTTTGAGAATGAGAAGAAATTGTCCCCATCATCGCTGCAGCGTTCAAAGTCCTCGTCGTGGCTCTTCTCAGAAAGGGCAGGATATGAGGACTGCCTGAAGCTCTTCAAGCACTTAGTGTGCTGGTACTGGGGGCCTGATATGAATGTTTCCTCAGGCAAAGCAAGATTTGGTTTCTCATTAAAATGTTTATCACGGTTAGTAGATTCGTAAGCTTTTTCAGCGCTGTGGCTTTTCTGATGCTGTGCCAATCCTGGGAGCCACATAAAACCTCTACCACATATGCTACATGTATAGGGCTTCTCCTTTACATGGCTATTCATGTGTCGGGACAGATGCGAGTGCTGGCGAAAGCTGGCACTGCACTTGGCACACTTATAAGGTTTCTCACCAGTATGGATTCTCCTGTGTGTCCTCAGGTTGGCTCTATGATTGAAGATCTTCCCACAGTCACCACATTTATGTTTTTTCTCTCCTGAATGAACTTTCTGATGCAAAACCAGGTATGAATGATCGCTGAAGTTTTGGTCACACTCAGGACATTTATACACATTTTTGGCTCCTTCCCAGGAAGAATCAAGAATTTCAGAAAGTGTGTTGGTTCCTAAATATTCAGAGAGTTCTACTAACGGGGTGTGGTTTTCAATGGTAACTAAAAGGCTGATGACCCTTCTCTTGCAAGTGGGAGTTCCACTTAATATTTTCCCTTCAGGGTTTCCAACTCCATCCTCAGAGAATTTTTCTGGGTAAGGGACAAGGGGTGCAGCAATGGGGTACTTTTCTAGGGCAAGCTCGTCAAGTTCCATAGACGCTAGGCTTAACTGCTGATTAATCTCTGGCTTGCCTTCCTCTCCTGTTGATAAAAACAAAAGAAAGCAAAACATAGACAATACCTTCAAGGGATACTGGGAAAAAAGTAAGCTAAAAGGTAGTTACAAAGAAGACCAGGAAACTTTAGAAGGGTTATCCTATAACCCAGACACGAAACACACAAAATCAGGACGAAGCAGACTCTCCTGGTCTCCCAGAAGATCCAGTTTTGGGTGAATATCCAAAGGTAAGGAGGAGAGAATAGCTATAACTAAGTCAGAGTCCAGTGGGATAGGTACTAAGGACAATCTCGGTAGTGGTTGTCTAGAGGTGAACTTTTCCAGCTTGTCTATTTAGACCTCAAGAGCCTTTCATTTTTGAAGCTATCTCAAGCAACAGCAGAACAATTAACAGTTGGAAAAAAGATTAGGATTCATATTTATCAAGAAAGAGAGGGGTTGGGCAAGTGTCTCACACCTGTAATCTCAGCACTTTGGGAAGCTGAGATGGGAGGATCACTTGAGGCTAGAAGTTTGAGACCAGTCTGGGCAACATAGTGAGACTCCATCTCTACAAAAAAATAATTTTTAAAAATTAGCCAGGCTTGGTGGCACATGCCTGTAGTCCTAGATACTCAGGAGGCTGAGGCAGGAGGATCACTTGCGCTCAGGAGTTTTGAGTTGTGCCATTGCACTCCAGCCTAGGTGACGGCCTAGGTGACTTGTTTCTTAAAAAAAAAAAAAAAAAAAAAAAAAAAAGATAAGATGACAGCAAGAATGAGGGAGAAAGAAAATAATTTTTAAAGAGAAAAGAAAGCAATCAAGTGAGCATTTTTCTCCTATAACAGAGAAGCACACAGGTTATCAGAAACAGTTTCATTATCAACAGGAGAACTCTCCAAAATCTCTTTATCCCTCACGGAGGAAAGATCAAGGTAGAAGGCTGTGTGTACTGCATGAAAATAACAGCCAATCTACTTACAAGGATGACTGACAAAACTAACATTCCTTTGTAATATTTTCCAAGTATTCTTCAGTTATAACGCAGATATATCAATACAAAAGGAACCTTTCTTTCCAGAGAAACAACGTTCTATGATTTTCCCAACTCACTGACTAGAAAGGGCTGCAGTATACTGCATGGGAATCCAAACAGTACCAAGTGGTTTTGCTGATTTGAGGAGACTGAGTTCAGAGATCAGGGATGCCAAGGCAGCTAGAACTTGAAAGCAAAACAGCAAAGAGGCAGCTGCTCAGAAAGAGCACTCAGGTCATCTACATGGGGTCCTCTTAAGACTTTCCTGAGGCTAGGTACAGTGACTCACACCTGTAATCCCAGCACACTGGGAGGCTGAGGTGGGAGGATCACTTGAGCCGTGGAGTTTGAGACCAGCCTGGGCAATATGGCAAAGCCCTGTCTCTACAAAAAAAAACAAAAAAATTAGCTAGGCATGGTAGTGCATGCCTGTAGTCCCAGCTACTTGGGAGGCTGAGGTGGGAGGACTGCTTGAGCCTGGGAGGTCAGCGCTGCAGTGAGCCGTGATTGTGCCACTGCACTCCAGCCTGGGCGTCAGATCAAGATACTGTATCAAAAAACAAAAACAAATACAAAAAAAACCACAACTTTGGCTGAGTAATCTACAAGTGCATGAAGAAACTACCCAATGCTGTGGAAAGAACCGCCTAAAAGGAGTAACAGAGCAATAATCAGTCCATGTTGCCTCCAGCCAAAGTGGAAAGACATAAGACATTGAGCAGCAATGTCCGCGGAAAAATACTGCCTTAGCAGTAACTCAAATAAGCCCTAGCAGAAAGGTTGATCTGAACCCATCCTAACAAAGCAAAAAAAAAAAAAAAAAAGCACACCTTGAAACCATCAAACTGACCCCAAGTAACTTAACCACCTCCCACAACAAAATCCAAAATATTTTTAAAAATGCAATGAAACCCTGGCTCCAAAAACATAAAATTCTTAATCCAACATCCAACCAAAATTTACATGCAAGTAAAGAAAATATAGGAAATATAACCCATAACTAGAAGACAAATCAATCAGTAGAAACAGACCCAGAAACCACATCAATGATAAAACTAGCAGGAAAAAAAAAGTTTAAATAACCATTATAAATATACTCTATAAGTTTAAGCAGATAGAAGACAACATGAACATGATGAAGAGAAAAGTGGAAGATAGAAAATATGAGTTATTTAGAATAACTAGTTATTCTAGTTGTTCTTTTCTGACTAGGATTGAGTATCTAAACTATTCCAAATTATTTAGAATAATTACTTAGAACAAATAAATAGAATACTTTAGATACTCAATCCTAGTCAGAAATAAAATCTACTGAGGCACAGGAGTCCATCTGTGTATGGTTCCCCATAGGTGAGAAAGGCATAGTACCCCTTAAGAGTAAATCAATTTTCAGTCTTTAGCAAATGATAGTGATAGATACTAACGGGATTTCCCAAGTAAAATTGTAAACTAACTGCAATAAATGTTTGTGAAAGATTATCAAATACTGCCATCTCTTGTACTAAACCACAGGCACTGTACTAGACTGAAGTTTTGTCTTTAAAAAATCATCTCGGCCAGGCGCGGTGGCTTATGCCTGTAATCCCAGCACTTTGGGAGGCTGAGGCGGGCAGATCATGAGGTCAGGAGATTGAGACCATCCTGGCTAACACAGTGAAACCCCGTCACTACTAAAAATACAAAAAATTAGCCAGGCGTGGTGGTGGGCGCCTGTAGTCCCGGCTACTCGGGAGGGTGAGGCAGGAGAATGGCTTGAACCTAGGAGGCAGAGCTTGCAGTGAGCAGAGATCGCACCACTGCACTCCAGTCTGGGAGACAGAGCCAGACTCCGTCTAAAAAAAAAAAAAAAGAAAGAAAGAAATCATCTCATATTTTAAAACTTTTTCTCTCATACAATTATCATCTCCACATAAATTACTCAGGCACAGGTCCCACTCCACCATACCAACATGTGGAAAAAGCATTAAGTTCTCATCCTAGAACTGAAAAAAGTTCCAGATGCAAGAAAAACAATTGCCTTACCCATCAAGGCCGCATCCTCCAAACACTCCTTTGTATCATCTCTACTGAGGGACATCTGGGCAGGGTGCAGAGTCACACACTCCTCTTGAGAAAAATACACAGCCAGATCCTCAAAGAGTATTGGTCCCTGAAACATAAAAGCCTGTGTCAGTACAAGACGGTGGAGGGTCAGTCCCTTACTTAACCTAGGAAGGATGAGCTAGAAACATCAGATGCATGGGATAAAAGGGCTTGGTGTAAAAGGTTCTTGAGTGCAGGAGTGGGGTAAATGGGTTCTAAGGGATGGGGTGAGGGTTGGAAAGAAGAGAGTAAACATGGATATTTTTAGGCAGTGGTATAAGGATGGTGGACTGTGACAATTATAGTCTATCTTGGAAGAGAAAAGATGAGGGAACAGCTCTTGGGGGAAAAACGATTAAGTAAGGATGCTCTAAGAAAAGGAGAAAGTTGGGGCAGGGTGCTGTGGCTCATGCCTGTAATCCCAACACACTTTGGGAGTCTGAGGGGGGCGGATGACTTGAGGTCAGGAGATCGAGACCAGCCTGGCCAATATGGTGAAACCCTGTCTCTAGTAAAATTACAAAAATTAAGGCCGGGCACAGTGGCTCATGCCTGTAACCCCAGCACTTTGGGAGGTGGAGGCAAGTGGATTACCTGAGGTCAGGAGTTCAAGACTAGCCTGACCAACATGATGAAACTCTGTCTCCACTAAATACAAAAAATTAGCCAGATGTGGTGGCGCATGCCTGTAATCCCAGCTACTTGGGAGGCTGAGGCAGGAGAATCATTTGAACCCAGGAGGAAGAGGTTGCAGTTAGCCAAGATTGTGCCACTGCACTCCAGCCTGGGCAACAGAGCAAAATTCCATCTCAAAAAACAAATAAATAAATAAATAAAATAAAATAAAAACAAATTAAAATGAAAATAGCTGGCTGTGGTGGCATGTGCCTGTAGTCCCAGCTACTTGGGAGGCTGGGACAAGAGAATCGCTTGAATCCGGGAAGCAGAGATTGCAAGGAGCTGAGATCGCACCATTGCACTCCAGCCTAGGCATCACAGCGAGACTCCATCTCAAAAAATAAGAAAAAGAAAAAAGAAAAGAAAAGAAGGTTGGGCAGCCCAGGAAGAATCATAAAGAGATAAAGGTTACAGGATTCTCCCAACATCCTTCCCTTTGCTATTTCCTCTCTTTCGTCCCCATGACACTCATTGCTAAGCTCACTCCAGCGCTTCATCCAGGCCTACCCCACCTTCCCTAATGGTGTGATAATGAATCACCTGGGATTTACTATTACTCTACAAGTGCAGAGTATAGAAATGTGCTTAATTTAAAAATCCATTCAAATTGGATAAGTACCAAATCTGTACTTTTGGGAACCATTCCAGAAAGTCACTTTTAATCCTAGCACTTTGGGAGGTCGAGGTGGGAGGAGAGCTGGAGGCCAGGAGTTCCTGGGCAAAGCCGCAAGACTCCATCCCCATAAAGAATTCTTAAAAGTGGCCAGACACTGTGGTATGCGCGCCTCTCAGCTACTCGAGAAACTGAGGCGCGAGGATTCCCTGAGTTTCAGATGGAGCTATGATCTCGGCACTGCACTCCAGCCAGACAAGCAACACTCCAGCGACAAGGCCAGACCTTATCTCTAAACAAAACAGATAAGACACTGAGAAACTCTCTCAGAGATTCCTCCAAGGGCCCTGTTCCCAGTTGGCAGTTCTGAAAGAAGGAAGCTGGTAAACCACTTCTATATGCCTGGTCTTGGAAAGAAGAACGCTTGGTCAAAGGGCTATTTGGGGCTCAGGTGCACTCCTACCACAACATGAATGCCCAACCCTCCTCCAAAGGAGGGGGTCAGGAAGAGACCAAAAGCAGCAACAAACTTGGACGAAAAAGGTACCTCCACTCACCTGGGCCTCGGGAGTTGGGGGCATGGACGCCATTTGGCGGATGGGGAATGCCTTCTTCAAGACGCCACAGGGACTTCGAGACGAAGCTGCGGGGGGAGAGAATAGTCTTTAAACGGACCTATTCTGCGGCCAAGCTCCTCCAGTACCCCTAGCCTCCCTCGATTACCTCCGAACCCCCTTAAAAACCTACGCTGACTGCTCCTCCTCCTGGCCCGGCCTCGAAAGGGGCCCACTTACCGCTCGGCGGCTAATGACAGGCTTCGCGCTCCCGGACAGGAGCTGCAGAAAGCGACGCCCGACCGGGAGGCGACGAAGAACGCCACGGCCGCTGCAAAACTCCCACGCTCTCATGTTCCTCTACGCAACAGCTGCGGGAAAAGCCGCCGGAAGCGACCCGCCCCCAGCCCTATCTGCCATCCTGCCCTTTGATTGGTCGGAGTTCTCCCGAAGGGGAAGTCCTTCTTTTGTGTTGACCAATCGAACACCTTAACCGAGGACCTGTAGCTACTGGGCAGCTGCGAGAGGTAGTTTTCCTCCTTTTCTCTAAGCAAGCATTTCCGCTTCCGCTGGTGGGGTCTCCCCTGTGAGCTCCGGGTCTATTTACCCGCTAGAGTACAGTCTTAGGGTGACCCCAGAGGGACGTAATGTTTCCGAGAAGAAGGGCAGAAAGAAGACTGGGAGACACCGGAACTCGAAAGAAAATCGGTAACAAAATGTGGGTTTGTCCAACAGTGCCCTGTAGGCCTGAAATTTCGGTCTGGCCAGAGCGGGGTGATTGAGAGGCCGGGGGTTCGGGCCTAGAGCTGTCCTTTGTGTCTTGGGCGGATGGTGGGGCCGTAGAACGTGAAGGAATGTCTTTTTGTTCGGGCTTGAGCTGTCCTTTGTGTCTTGGGCGGATGGTGGGGCCGTAGAACATGAAGGAATGTCTTTTTGTACGTTCACAACGTTGACATCGGTGTAGGCCAGGTTGCTAGGCTCCTACTCAAAGTGTTCTAGAGGCATTACGTATTTTACCCGTAGCTGCAGCCTAACCGAGCCGCGTCAGCTCCATAGTCACAGAGGACCCCACGCGGGTATAGAGCCGTAGGTTTGCGTCGCGGGACATTATTCGCCCCCAGATACCTCACATTCAGCCTACCCTAGAGCCAGTCATTTCCTATTGTGCGTTGGCGGAAGAGGGAGTGCCCTAGTGTAGAGATTTGGAATTGGAAAATTGAACTCCGTCCCAAGCTCTGACACTGACTGGTTGGTAATCTTGGCCAGTTTACAACTTTGCTTTCCTCAGCTGCAAACAGCTCAGGATGCCTCTCTGGGCTAACTCAGAGGGTAGTTTCAGATTATAAGATAATGTAAGTGAAAGAAATTGTCCGTTTATAAAGGTGTTTGGGGGAAAAAAAAGACGAAAATGATAGGTACCTTCCTTGATAGAAAAGCCTGAAAAGTCTCAACATATTTCCTTATTCTAGTGCCAGGCACATCCCTGTATCTAAAAGCTTAATGAATGGCTGCATGGTTATTAAAACAATATTAGGAGATTTGACAAGTTAGGTAATGTGATTTTGTGGAATATCTGATGGGATAGTTTCAGCTACAAGTAACAGCAAACCCACCGAAATGATTTTCAAAGAGCAGTTGCAGGTTGGTTAATTTGGTGGCCCAGTGACAACATCAAGGTCCCAGTGCTTCTCCTCTGCCACCCTTAGCATGTTGGTAAAGTTGACAGTAGAATCCAGGTAAAATATGCAGACATGTATTGTGTCATGTACCCATCCTAAACTAGTTACTACCAAGAATAAATATCATAATTATTTGGAGCCCATCATGCTTCAGCCCTTGTCACTAGGGGAAGGACCCAGCCTCCCATGATAATCTACCTGCACAAAATCAGGGCTTTGTTACAAATGAAAAGAGATGTGGAAAATAAGTTAGATAAGAAACAGCAGTATCTGCCAGAAATGACATCTCTTGACAGCTAAGAGCTAGACCTTATGGGGATGGATCACAAAAGAGGTATCTGGGGAGTCCCAGTAAAGGTGCTTTCAGGACAGGTGGAAGAATGGTAAGAACAAACTTCCCTACAGGCTAGACCAGTCCAAAGCATACACGTTGAAGAAGAACTAATAGCCTGTATATGAAGGTGTAAGCCAGATAAATGTTCATTATTGAGTCACTGTGGTGTTAACATAGTCATCTTTCCCTTCTCGGTTTGTGCTTATCTTTTTTTTTTTTTTTTTTTTTTTTTTAAGACAGAATCTCACTCTGTAACCAGGCTGGAGTGTGGTGGCACAATGTCAGCTCACTGCAACCTCTGCCTCCTGGGTTCAAGTGATTCTCCTGCCTCAGCCTCCCGAGTAGCTGGCACAGGCACCTGCCACCACACCTGGCCAATTTTTTTTTTTTTTTTTGTATTTTTAGTAGAAATGGGGCTGCATCATATTGGCCAAGATGGCCTCGATCTCGTGACCTTGTGATCCACCTGCATTGGCCCCCCAAAGTGCTGGGATTACAAGCATGAGCCACTGCGCCTGGCCTATTTAATGCCTTTTTTTTTTTTTTTTTTTTTTTTTTGAGACGGAGTCTCGCTGTCGCTCAGGCCGGAGTGCAGTGCCCGGATCGGGGCTCACTGCAAGCTCCGTCTCCCTGGTTTACGCCATTCTCCTGCCTCAGCCTCCCGAGTAGCTAGAACTACAGGCGCCCGCCACCTTGCCCGGCTATTTTTTTTTGTATTTTTTTGTAGAGACGGGGTTTCACCGTATTAGCCAGGATGGTCTTGATCTCCTGACCGTGTGATCCGCCCATCTAGGCCTCCCAAAGTGCTGGGATTACAGGCTTGAGCCACCACGCCCGGCCTTTAATGCTATTCTTACATCAGTGATGTCTCATTGTAGTCTGAGATTCTCCTGATCTGGATTTGTGGCTCTTTCACCAAGAACAGGAGACTCCCACGGCTCTCTTCTTTAAATCCTGTTGCCATAATTACAAAGAAATAAACACAGTTTCCAAGGCTTTGAAATGAAGCATGTGATATTAACTCAGTGGATTACCAGAGAGAGGGATATACCTGAAATGGGAAAGGAAACAATCTTCCCTAGACTATCTTTCCTAAGAGCTATCAAAACTATAAACAAGTAGACCAAGGAGGAGGAAGCTTGAAAGCTTTATCTTCCTGAAAATAAAGAGATGACATACAAAGTCCAAGATAGACCAAGATTGAAAAATTAGACTGCATTATACCCCTAACTCAGTTTTGTAAAAAATCACAAATGCTCGACTGTATATCTACTATATGTTCAAGTAACAAATTTTAATTATCAAAATTTAAAAATCCTTCCACCACAATCTTTTGCAAGTTTTTCCATTTCTGTCTTTAACATGGTACCAATAATAACAACTACAAACTGTTCGTGTTGAAATTCTTTCTATAGCCCAGCATCTGCTTTCTCTGAAAATTATCTTTTTAAAAATATTAAAAATAACATAATTACAAAAGCAGTATATGTGCATTTTAGAAAGAAAATACAGGGGAAAAAATGGCACCACATTCCTGTCACCCAGAGATCACCACTATTTACTATTTATTTATTTATTTATTTATTTATTTATTTATTTGCTGAGACAGAGTCTCACTGTTGCCCAGACTGGAGTGCAGTGGTGCAATCTCTGCTCACTGCAACTTTTGCCTCCTGGGTTCAAGTGATTCTCATGCCTCATCTACCAGAGTAGCTGGGATGACAGGCGCATGCCACCACACCCATTTAATTTTTGTATTTTTAGTAGAGATGTGGTTTCGCCATGTTGGCCAGGCTGGTCTCAAACTCCTGGCCTCAAGTGATCTGCCCACATCAGCCTCCCAAAGTGCTGGGATTATAGATATGAGCCACCACACCTGGTCTACTCACTGCAACCTCCATCTCCCGGGTTCAAGCGATTCTTCTGGGTCAGCCTCCCGAGTAGCTGGGACTAAAGGTGTGCGCCACCATGCCCGGCTAATTTTTGTATTTTTAGTAGAGGACAGCATTTCCCCATATTGGCCAGACTGGTCTCGAACTCCTGACCTCATGATCTGCCCACCTTGGCCTCCGAAAGTGCTGGGATCACAGGCGTGAGCCCCTGCCCCTGGTTACTTTTTCCCTAGTGACTTTTTTACGATGATGCAGCTGTATATTGAAATGGAAAGGTACTCGTTTTGGGGAGTAAAATTGGTTATGAAACAAAAATAATAACAAAGTCGCTTTTGAAGACTGTATTAAAATGTTAGTGGTAGTTATATTTTTAATTTTTATGGGTACATGGTAGGTGTATATATTTATGTGGTACATGAAATGTTTTGATGCAGGCATGCAATGCGTAATCACTTCAAGGTAAATGGGGTATCTTCGCTGGCGATGTTTAACATGATTTCCAGAATGAATTGCTCACTATGTTTGGTGTGTTTTCCATTCCCAGATGGTACTGCCTTTTAAGGTCTATTACTTAAACATAAGTATGGCTCTGGTTCTTATGGCCTTTACTGTATCCTTCATGAGAAGTTGATACTGATCGGAAATTGACACACAGCCTTCTCACCTACACCAAGGGAGTCTAGGTAAGGAAGATTATCTTTATCCCAAATTCAGCAAGAGGTTTTCTTATTGGTGTTCAGAATGCTTGATTGAGCAGTTAGAAAACTGTTGCTACCTAGTCTCCAGTCTTATCAAGGAAACAATGGCTGCAATTCATGCCTGCAAGAACAAGAGGCTCACACAATTTTGAAATTAGTGCAACTTCTAGCTGGATAGGAGTCTTTTTAGTTTCATTTAGCCTTGACTTGAAACTAATAGGAGTCTTAAAATGAGAAAAAGGCTCAGGGCTCTAAATGTACCTTTGACATGTTAATTCTGTTACCAAAAACTGGATTTGCTCTGTATTAACTCCAGCAGAATTGTTTTTCAGTCACTGAGGCCAGAGGTGCTTCCAGAGAAATGTTCCTGACCTACTGATACTGAATAATTATTTTTGAAGCTGCAACCAAAGACTCCTGGAGGGTAGTAAGAGGTACAGAGAATGCAGGTTAGATACAGTGAGGACAGAGAAGAAATAATGGGTTGGAAACTGGGTGTGGTCACTCACACCTATAATTCCAGCTACTCTAGAAGCTGAAGCAAGAGAATCACTTGAGTCCAGGAGTTCAAGGCTGCAGTGAGCTAGCATTGCGCCACTGCACTCCAGCTTGGATGACAGAGCAAGACTTTGTCAAAAAAAAAAAAAGGTGGGTTGCTTTGTAGTTTAGAGAACTACATGTTTAGATAGTTATTATTTCCCCAAAAGAGTGCATCAGATTGAAATTCTGAGATCCAGGGTTTGTCTGACACTCACTAGCCTATGAGTTGTAGAGATGGGATGGCCAGGAGTGAAGTGATGGCCTTGTGTCTTTCTCCCCTGCAGCATACAGAACGGCTG